GAACCTCTAGTTAAATGCTCATCCGCAGTGCTCCGTCAAAAGACCGTAAGGACTTCTGGGAGCACCTAAAATAACCAAAAAAAAAAAAAAATTATATTGTATCCAGATTGTACTCAGCAAGTGTAGTGTAGTAGCATTTAGATTTACAAAGTTTACAAAGTACTACTGCACTTTGTAAATCTAAGTGCTTTAAAAAAAAATACATTTCAGACACGTGTTATGTGTCCAATAATCTACGCGTCTAAAACGTATTTCTGGTCCGTGTTCTACTCGGTAAAATGGCATCCATACATTCGTGAATAACACGTATTCTGAAAAGTTTTAAATGCGCATTTAATACCAAATAAACACTTTATTGAATAATACATAATTACTGCGTTTTATGCATACTCGTTTTTAAACGCATCTGTCAGGGTTTCTAATGCGTGTTTGACACGATAAAATGGCTAACATACATACCAGAATGATGCGTATTCAAACAAGCTGTAAATGTGCATTTACAACTTAAGATGCCGGCTGGGAAGTAACTCAATTTCTAAAGCCAAGAAAAAAGCTGAGGAAATTGGCATCGAAACACTGTTTAAGGAAAAGCGTGAGAGAAAGAAGATAAGGGTAATTCTTTATAAAAAAAACACAAATTTAACCCTAGCCTAGAATTTTTTTTAAAATGATCTCTTCTTACCCCTAATTGACGCAGTTGAATTATCTTCAAAAGGCAGAATGAACAAGTTCTCCGAACACGAGTTAAGGTGAGAATTCCTATTTGGCTTGAAAAAACTTAAAAGGACAAACTTAAATAGGATTGTAAAATGTTACAAGAACACCTTACTGTAAAAAATTTTTTAGATATAAATGGGGAAGAACTGTACAATAAACTGCTACAGATCAGTTTTGTAAATACTACTTTTGACAAATGGTGTGAGCAAAAGCAGAAGCTGACCAACAAGGAACAATTACTATTAGAAGTAATCAATATAATCCATATAAATAAAACCAATATAATAAAAATTCAGTGTTACCTTAAAATCGTGCGTCAGTAGTTGCCTGCGTTACAAAAAAAAAAATACTTTATAGTTTAGTTCCTTAAGTACCGCGACAAAAAATTAAGTAACCAATAGATTAGTACTAAAATTGATTGACACCTTTTTTATGAATGCGTGCGTTTAAATTATTTTTACGGTTTTTCGCAATAAATATTGAGTGGTAATATCTTATTTCAATAACTGTATATATAGTAGATATATCATACTCACGTTGCCGTAGTGAAGTTATTTTTTGCCGTAGTGAAGTTATTTAATTTTTTTTTTTCCAGCCAAAAATGGCTGGAAAAAAAAAAATTGTCAATCATTCCACCATATCTATATTCTGTTTTATAATTGAGTAAAATTGTATTAATATTGCGAAGTCTTACAATATTGAATAATTTGTAATTGTCGATTATAGAACTGTGAGTTACTTTCATGTTGTTTTTATAAAAGAATAAATTAAACTGATATACAGTCAACTCTTCTATAACGCGATTAATTCGTACCGCATAGTATGGAAACCGTGTTATAAGAACTCAATTTGGTAAATACATTTGTTGAAGACCACGTTATGAGGAACACAGAAATTATCAATTATATAATTTTTAATATACAACTTAAACCGTGTAATATGCAAACTTCTGTCGCGTTATACAGAAACAGCGTTATAAGAAACATGGAAGTAGTATAAATTGAATCGATTCGTACCGCGTTGTATAGAATCATAGAAATAATTGTTTTTTTTTAGAAATAAATAAATTGTGCACAAATAAACTTAATTTAATCTAATTTTATCGCATATGGTAAGTTATTCAATTCTGAAGATTAAAAAGTGATTAATAAGAAAAAGTTTCCAACAAAAATTAAAATGATGGATTGTAAATTCTGTTCTTATCCGTCATCGGTGTCAAATATTAGCCTTTTAATTCGACTTCTTTTTTTTTCTCTAATTGGCTGATAATCCTCTTCACTTTGAAAATTTTCTTTTTGATTTTCAAAAGTAGTTTTATTTCGTAGTTCTTTTAAAACTTCTTTGTGTGGAGCTAACCCGGTGGGAAATGAGCTAGCGACTAGCGAGCGATTAGCTAGCTTTATAGCGATTTTTTTTTCTTATTGTTTTTTCTCCTAATGTTTTTAACATCTTTAAAAATTTGATTTTAGTGTTGAGTCTATTATAATTATGAGAATAATTAAACTTTAAACTTTGCGATTTTGTAGCAATATGTTGCTAGCTACATATCGTAGCTTTGTAGCTAGCTACAAAACATCTACAAATCTATAGCAGGTTGATAGCTGCATATTAAAATTTTTTAGACAGCGATTTTATTACGAAATGACGCTAACTACAAAAGCCTGTGGGTCTTTAGCTTAGTAAGCTAGCTGTCATCGTAGCCAAATTGCTGTCTTTGCCTTTACAAGTATCGTTAGCTGTTCGCTAACTTAAAAAAGCTGCCGATCATCGTGACCAAATCGCTGTCTTTATCGTTACGATTTACTTTTCTTTTATGTTCAAAATATATGTATAAATATATATATATATATATATATATATATATATATATATATATATATATATATATATATATATATACATATACATATACATATATATATATATATATATACATATATATACATATACATATATATATATATATACATATATATATATATATAATATATATATATATATATATATATATATATATATATGTATATATATATATATATATATATATATATATATATATATATATATATGTATATGTATATATATGTATATATATATGTATATGTATATGTATATATATATATATATATATATATATATATATATATATATATATATATATATATATATATATATATATATATATATATATTTATACATATATTTTGAACATAAAAGAAAAGTTGAACATAGTGCAAGAGTGGTTATTGTACAATTGTTCTAAAGTAATCAAAACTTCGCCACAGTCTCCTGATATTAATATTATTAAAAATTTATGGCATAAGCTAAACTTAGAAATTCGTAAACATACCATAAATGATAAAAATGATTTAAAACATGTATTGCCGGAAGAGTGGAACAAAATAACCCCAGAATTTACAAAAAAATTGGTGGAACCAATTCCTAATAGACTAGAATTAGTAATTAAGGTTGTATATCCCTCAGAAATATCAAATTTTTCAAAAAATATTTTGTTGTTTCATTTTATTCAAAATTTATTATAGAATCATATTCTGAAAACCATTTTTTAAAATTCAGTATATAACTTGAGGAAAATAAACTTTACTAAACCTTACTTTTATAAGCGCCCTTGACAACCTCCATAGTAACGGTTAAATTTTTATTTGGCCAAGAAATTCTCCCCAAATTTAATTTTTAATACTGTTTATAATTTGTTTCTATTTTCCATTAATCAAAACATCTGTAAGAGTAAAAGCAATTACTGGATTTCTCATAAATTTCTTCCAGAAGTTTCTTTAAAACGAATCGCCATCTTAAAGTTATATATATCTACGCATCTGTTTATGTTTACAAAAATTAAACCTTATACTTTTAATGGGTAGAGAACGTGTGAAATTCGCTACTCAATACAAAAAGAAAAAAAGAATTCATGGAAATCAATATACTTTAAATAAAACAAATTCAGCAAATACTAGTTTTCTATCTTCTACAGATTCACAGAGCTCAATAAATGTATCTTATTCCAAGGTAAACCATATTAATACTTCTGCAAGTTCTAATAAAAAATAGCACTATATTAGCCATATATGATAGCACTTTATTGGCCATTGTTTTTCAGTTGTTATGTTATTCAGAATGTAAAACTTGTCATGAATTTTTTACATCCAAGAAGTGTGGTTCTGAAAGTTGTAGAGCTTTTGATATCAACCAAACGCCAGTTTATGCTATGCGTTCATGTGGACAAGGCCATTCTGGCCTTAAAAGATTCTGTTGTCTTATGGATCTTCAACCGCCAATGACTAAAAATACTTACATTAAAATTATTCAAAAAAATGCTACTGGAGTTGAAGCTTTTGCAGTAGAAACCATGTCTGATGCTGCACTTGAAATTATAAAAGCCTCCTAACATACAACTGATGAATCTAATTTAATAAATACCAGTGTTTCTTGTGACGGTACTTGGTAACGTCGAGGTTTTTCCTCATAAACGGTGTTTATGCTGTGTTGTGTTCACTATTTTAAATATATATCTACTAACTCTTATTTTTTTTGTATTAAAGATTTATTAAAATAACATATTTACAACTAGTATTATATGAACAAACATAACTCACTACAATATCTTTCTAACTAACGCACGAGTTCTAATGCGTTCCACGTGAACGCACTCTTACCAATCATAATGTTATGTATTTCGTATTATTACACAAATAAATAAATCATGTTAAGAAATTTTTAATAGCAAAACTTTATAGGTCTATTAATTCGCTTTGGATATGATTTTCTTTTAACTATTTTTCTTTCGATATCGTTTACTGGTGTTTCACATTGTATACTTTCGGCTTCAGGTTTTAAGGGTTTTTTTTTTATAAATTGTATATTACGCGCCAACTCATTTCCTTCTTGTTCGACTACAATGATTAAATTTTGATTTCTTTCTTTAACTATATATTTCTTGTTTAAATATTTTGAGTCTAATTTTCCTCGCGGTTTATGGCATTTAACAGTAACCTGATCTTCTACTTTAATGTCATCTCTCTTCTTTGCATGATGTTTCATATCAATATATTCTTGTACTTTTTATACTTTTTATTTTGACGTTCTCTCACTTCTTTGTCATAGGGTGATTTTTCAATTATTATTGAAGGAAACTTGTTTTTGATATTTCTATTGAATAATAACGTAGCTGGTGGTTTGCCAGTTGTAGCATGAGGTGCCCATCTATAATTTCGAAGCATGCTTTGAAGTTCCTCTCTCCAACTTTTCCCCATAAATGAGTTGTTTTAATTGTTTTTCCTATAACTTGCATAAATTTTTCTACGATACCGTTGCGAATATTGAGGCGTTATCTTAATGTCAACATTTTTAAAGTATAGTTTGAATTCTTCGCTTTGAAACGGTGGTCCGTTGTCACTTCTAATTTTGTTAGGATAACCAAATATAGCAAATAATCTTTCTAGTTTACTTATGACGCTTGATACTGTTGTGGTTTTTATTATATCAACAAATGGGTATCTTGAATATAAATCTTCTATAACAAATAAATACTCTCCTGACGGTAATGGTCCAAAAAAATCTATTGCTAATTCATCCCAAACATGTTCTGGTAAATTCGACAATTTTATTGGTTCAGGATTTGGAACACGTGAATTTGCTTGACATCCCAAACGCTTTTTAACATATGCTTTTTTATCGGTATTTATAGTGACCCAGTAAACTTTTTGTTGCAATAAGCCTTTGCATTTTTCAACACTTTAATGTCCTTCATGTACAATTTGAAAAGCTCTTTTTTGAAGCATATTTAGTAAAACAATTTTTTCTCCTCGTAATATGATTCCTTCGTGATCAGTTAACTTATTTTGAAATTTACGATACGGTTCAAGTATTGGATTGTCATGCCATTTACCCGACAACAACGCTGTTTTTACTGAAACTAAACTGATGTCTGTTGCCTCTGTTTTTATATCTTCGAGTGATATTGATTTGGGTGCCATTTTTGTCACTAAGAAATTTACATATGCTGTAATTTCATTTTCATCTGAATCACTATGTACTTCATTTGGAGTACAGTTTCTAGAGATAAAATCTGCAATGTTCTCTTCTCCTTTTTGATGTATTACATCGAAATCGTATGCCTGTAATTTGATTTGCCATCTTGCAATACGTGCATTTAATTTAGAACCAGAAGCAAAAATGAACTTGAGAGGTTTGTGGTCCACTATGACCTTAAAATTTTTTCCATATAAATACAAATGTAACTTTTGAATAGCCCATACCAAAGCAAGAGCTTTCTTTTCTGTAATACTATATTTTAACTCGGCTGCGGTTAATGATCTACTTATGTAGCAGATTGGTTTACTCCATGTTCCTTCTTTTTGTAAGAGTATTCCACCTATGGCATGATTACTAGCATCAGTGATTAACTGTACTTCTTTGCACGGATCATAGAAAGCCAAAACTTGATAACTCACGTTTAAGCATGTTGAAAGTATCATAATGTTTTTTTTCCCACTTAAATTTTGAATTTTTCTTTAATAGTTCCCGTAGTACTGTTGTTTTTTCACTACAGTCTTTAATAAATCTTGATAAATATGTGCATAAACCAAGAAAACTTTGACGCTCACTGATCGTTGTGGGTGATCTTGCATTCTTGATAGCTTCTACTTTGTTTGGATCAGGATTAATACCATTTTTAGATATTTCATTACCAAAAAATTTTATTTTCTCTTAAGCAAAAATACACTTTTTTTAATTTAACTTCAGACCCAATGTCCTTGTTTTGATGAACAAAAGTTCTAATTTTCTTAATAAGTCTTGTTCGTCTGATGCATATATTATAATATCGTCACTAATAAATTTTACTCCCTCTATTTTACCAAAGCTTTGCTCCATTGTTTTTTGAAAAATTTCAAACGAATTCTTGATCCCATACACTAATCTTTTGTGTCGGTAGACTCCCTCATCCGTTTGAAAATTTGTAATTTTTCTTGATTCGATATCCAACTCTAGCTGAATATAGACTTCCTTCATGTTTAGTTTGGCAAATATTTTTGAACCATGCATTTCATCTATTACCAAATCTAATGTAGGTATTGGGTATCTTTCACGTTTAATTGCTTTGTTTATGGTTCTAGCATCAGGACCTAACCTTACTGTCTTATTTGCTTTTGGTACAATTACAAAATTATTTATCCATTCTTGTGGTCCTTCAACTTTTTCAATAATGTCTGCTTCTTGAAGTCGCTTTAAGTCTGCTCAAATGTCTTTTCGAAGGTGATAAGGATAACGACGCAAATTTTACACAACTGGTTTTATGTTTTTGTCTACATAAAGTTTGCATTAAAAATTTTTTAATTTACCATGTCCTTCGAATATGTCTTCGTATTTTGCAATTAACTTTGTCAAATTATTTTTAAATTTTAAAGTGACTTTACAATTTGAATCAATATGCTTAAAACTATTATCATTTTGAGTTGTTGGAAGTTTGATTTTATCATCAAGTTCACACTAGAACCTAAATCAATAATTATTTTAATCGTGACATTTTCCACTATTAAATTTATTGTTTTTGTTTTATTAGATTGTCTTTTCCGTGTTGATCTACATGTCAGGGCAAGCGTTTCTTCTGATTCATTTTCTGAGCTGTGTTCACTTTTAGCTTTATTATTTATTTCATTAACTTGTCGGTTTCTCCTATACAACGGTTGTACAGTAGTTCGGCAGCAAATAGTTGAATAATTTTTCTTTTGACATTTGAAGCACATTTTTCCAATGGCTTTGCAATCATTTTGGTGTCCAACAAAGTACTTCTCCCAAACATCGAAAGCATAACAAGTTATTTTCTTTTTTGTCTGTATTATCATTTCGACTAGGTCTCGATTTAATGGTTGTCGTTTGTTTTCTTCTTCTGAAAAAGGTTTGTTTTTCTAAATGATCTACTAAGTCGATTTCCTCTAAACATACATTTGCTTTTGCCTGTTATTCTGACACTTCCATGTTTCGAACAATCTCAATACATTTCTCGAGATTTATTTCTCTATCTTTAAGGAGTTTTTGTTTTAATTTTAAAGAATAACACGATGATATGAACTGATCTTTCACTGTCTCTGTAACATTTCGTCGCGTTGGTTTGACAAGGTTCTAACTGATCCGCGAGTAGTTTTGAGCAAATCAATGTTAAAAATTGTTATGTTCCTCCCATCAAAATTTATTAAAATTCATCGATAATATTTTTTACTCATGATAACATAAGCATTTGCTATAAGTACACTGTAAAATGAATCGGTTTTATAGTGGTTTTTTAAAAAACCCGTTGGTTTTTCAAAAAACGATAACGCAGTTTTCGGTTTTTTAAAAATCCAATTGGTTTTATACTTAACGCTCTAAGTATTACGGTTTTTCAAAAAACCAAACGTATACCAAACTATATGAGTTTTACGAAAATGTCTGGAATCGCTGTTAACATTTTGCCAGTAAGTTTGAGTAAAACATTTATGCCATAACCTATATTTTTTAACTGTAAATTTTGTATAAAAAAAGAAAAATACTTACTGAAAAAACAATCCAATAATTATTATAATTATTATATAACACTTTGAAATTAAAAAAAAAATGTTTTTTAGGAACAACCTGAAACTTGGTCATCTTTGGATGTTACTCAATGGTTAATAAATTGTAACTTAGAATCATATGTTGAAAAATTCAAAGGTACTTTTTAGAAACATTTGAAATTTAACTAAAATGACAACTTTCTTCTACTGTTCAATGTGTTCAACACCAGTTTTACAGATAATGTCTCAATTGAAAAAGTCTTTAGGTCATATGTTTCTAAAATTAATTCATGTTGACTTAAACTATTATATGACAAAAAGAAAACAGTGTTTACTGTTTTCTTTTTGTCATATAATAGTTTGATAAAGCAGTTTATTCAGCAAAATGATACTGTCAATTTAGTCCATATATTAGACAATGACTATCTCTATGATGTATTTTCTTCTTTTATTTATGAGTATCAATTGATTAATTTTTGTAAGACTGATTTAAAAATGGTGGAGCCACAAGAAAAAAAAATTACAGGTTCAGACGGAATTACTTATAAATACCACTACATTAGTGTAAAAGATAATCTGGAAAGAGTTTTTGGTATAGAAGATATATTTAATGAATTTTTTCACGTAACTGAAAATCCTATTTTATATGTATGACTATTGTGATGGAGAAATTTACAAAAGACATTCTTTTTTTTACAAAACATCCTACTGCTATTCGTATTCATTTGTTTATTGATAAATTTGAAACTGTTAACCCTTTAGGTTCTAAAAAAGGCAAACAAAAACTTTGTGGTGTATATTACACTATTGGAAATTTACATCCTCGTTGTCGCACAATAACATCTCAAATACACCTTGCCATCCTGTTTAGCTCTAAAATACTGCAGTTTTCATCTTATCATGATGTATTAAAACCGCTCGTTGATGAACTTATATCTTTAATGAGTTCTTATGTGACTGTTATTCAGGGAGAAACTAAACACAGTCTTCATGTTTGTATTGCCTCAGTATCTGCAGACAATTTAGGGGCCCATTCGCTTGCTGGTTTTAGATGCTGTTTCAGTTCTGGTAGAATTTGTCGATTTTGTTTAGTTGATCATAAAACCATATCTTTGAGATACACAGAAGATTCTTGTTCATTAAGAACAATTTCTAATTATAACACTCATCTGCAAGCAGTTAAAAGTTATTCTGCAAATAAAGCAATATTTGGAATAAATAAATCATGCAGTTTAGACAGATTGCCTTACTTTAATGTTATCGAATCCTTTCCACCAGACTTACATTCTAGAGGGGATAGTTCCGCTACTTCTAAAATTGATAATTCAAAAACTGATTGAAAATAAGATCATAAATTTAATCCAGTTAAACTATGAAATAAAAACATTTCCATATGGATTTCATGATTCAAGAAATGTCCCATGTGAAATACGTAACCATTCGGTTTCTGCTAATGGTCATCTCTCTGGAAAAGCTTCAGAAAATTGGTGTCTTTTTAGAAATTTTCCAATAACTATTATTGATTATCTTTCTATCCATGGTGATAATTTCCAATGGTATTGGGAAGTCTTTTTGCTGTTTCGTCAAATATGTGACACTTTATTTTCTTTTACAATTAAATGTGATCAAATTACATATTTAACATACCTCATTGAGAATTTCTTGTATATGTTTAATATTGAATATCCTGACAAAATGACTCCAAAAATGCATTATCTTATACATTACCCAAGAATGCTGTGTTTATTTGGCCCTTTAAGACATTTATGGTGTATGAGGTTTGAATCCAAACACAATTATTTTAAAAGGTTGTGCCACATTATCTCCAACTTCAAAAATATTACTTTTACATTATCAAAGCGACATCAAATGAGACAATGTGCAGAATTAAACTTTTATGATTTTCTGCGAAACAATGAAGATGAGAAGAATGGAGTTACAATATCAACTTTGTGTCTTCCAAAAAATATTCAAGACTAACTATTTGATTATTTTGGATATAATATTAGTGAAATATTTAAAGCTACAAGTGTATCTATTAATCATGTAACTTATTATGTTAAGGACTATCTTGTTTTATCGGTTCAAGATGATGGAATTCCTATTTTTTTATGCATATCTTATCTGCTTAAACACTCTGAAAGGTGGTATTTTGTTGAAAATATTTGCACCTGCTCACAGTTTTTACTCTATTGTCATTCATATTGCTTAATGCATCCTCCACATTATGCATTCAACCTGTTGGAAGTGAAGCTTCTCCTGAACCACTTGATGGGTATATAACATCAGTGGGATGTCTAGTTGCTTTGAAAAGTCAAGTGTTGTAACACTTGTTGGAGGGTGACGGCACGGTTCTCCAAAATCACCCCAGTGCTTTTTCCACGGCAAAATTTAAAATTTTGGTTTTTCAAAAAACCGATTTGAGTTTTTTGAAAAACGCAATATAAGGGATTTTTGAAAAAATTCGAAAAAGGTTTCAATCTGGCTTCAGCCTGAAAAACCGATTTTGGTTTTTTGCCGCACCGATTTATTTTACAGTGTATTACTATTTTTTATTAAAAAATGTTTCACTCTTTATAGAAAAATGAATACCCCTTAAACGCAGTCAGAACCTTGTCATAGTGAAATAATCATATTCTCACTATGACAAGGTTCTAACTGCTGTTATAACGGTAGTTAGAAACATGTTAGTTACTTTGAAACTTTGTGACTGTAGCTGTTAGTTACTTTAAATTTTGTAACTGAAACAATAATATAATAAAAAGCTAATTTTCATAAATTAGATTATTGTTTCAGTCACAAAACAAGGTTACAACATTTCTTTTACTCTTTTTTACTCTACTATTTTTTATTTTTTTTATACTACAATTTTTGGTACATTTTAAAACCATAACATTAAGTTCAGGGTTAAAACCCTTAAAAGTTTTTCATGTTTATTTTATAGG